CCAGATTTCCGGGACATTTTTTTTAGCTGTTCAATTTAGGTGATGGGCTGCATCTCATTCCACTCTTTTTCCAGGATTTCTGGAAATCTTTTGTTCCTAAAATCCTTAAATAAGGGGTGAGACCAAAGACCAGTATTTTCCTTTTAATGTGGGTCATGCATTATATTCGAAATAAATAAGTTCTTGTATGACCACAAGACATGATCATTCGAGTTTTTGAAGCAAGAAGAATACAAGCCTGAGTAATCAAACAATTGCATAGATGCATGAATGTTCTCGTGCCATTATGTGCAAAGTGAGTGCCAACAATGTAACATACAAACCCAACAAGTGTGACATCTATAAAATGCCATTCAAAAAATGTAAACTTACACTGCAGAATGTATCTTCTTTATTAAAGGGGCAAGGATAATGTCTTTGCGCAGACGGTATCGTACATGGAAGCAAATTAAACTTTCAAACAACTTTAAAGGCATTGATGCCCCAAAGAAATAATAATAATAATAAAAAAAGGTGTTATAATCAAATTATGAGGTCTCTAGTCTTTGGTATTTTACCCTACCTCTTTTCTGCTACATTATTCTGTGTGTTTTGTATGGATCAGCACCATGAGCATGATCTCTTGATCACTGGCTTCATCTGTTTGTCCTCCTCCAAGGAAATCATCCCCAAGTGTGATGGATCCTCTAGCATCATCTTTGCAACCAAGTATCCTGCTATTGACCAAGTCTGGTACTTCCTTGCCTGTTTACCAATGTATCTCCCAAGTGTGCCATCATAATATTCTGGCCAGCCATCTTTCAGCAAGCGAGTCTCGGCAAGATCAATAGCACGTCTTGCAATTTGTGGGCGTCCGGTTTTGATGCAAGCAGCCGTTAGCAACCACAAGAGCACTGCATGAAAAAGAAACAAGAAATCACATGACAAAAGAAAAGGAGGGCTTATGAAATTTTGTAATTACATTTTACTACAGAATTCAGTAGAGAACATAAATAAATGACCATAAGAATTCAAAAGCAGCTTGAGTTTCACCAAACACCAGAAAGGTTCATTACTTAATGGGGGATCAATTGGACTCAACTTAGACATTGATAAAGAGACCGCTATTGAGATATTAAGAATGAATGACTTCCCTCAATGAATACTCCCAAGGAAGCCTGCTCTGGGTTATTGATGCAGACTCCATTATTTTCTTCCAAAGACAAAAACATTTAACATTGAAAAACATGGTTTAATTTGGAAAAAGCCAAGGAAATTATAGAGCCATTGGTTAAATTTCATAGCAGAAATCCTTAAACCTCAACATGGCAAACCAACATAGATCTTGAACAGACAGTAAACCTCAAATTTATACATCTCAAAAGCACTAATCGCATCAAGAATCTACCAACTCAACTATGCTGTCAGGATGAAAAGCAAAAAAACTTAATTGTGGTATTAAAAGTGTAATATATGTGCAATAATAACAACTGGATGGTGGCATTTAACCAGTTAGACTATTTGCCCATTTGACCTTTGTGTCTAGAACAGCTTCACACTGATCAATAGATGGTCAAAGCTTGAGGATTTCTGAAAGTGGAACAGCCAGGTCCACACCCTAAATGGTTACACAAAATTAGCTTCCACTTCATTCTAGTTGTCATTCTTTGTTTAGTTGAAATGTTTTATCAGTTTTCATCAAACAGCACTGTTGTGTCTGGAACAGCAATCATTTTGGTGCTCAAACTGCAACTGGATTTGGGGCTTTGGGCCCCAAAAAGCAAGATGCATAGTGAATTTCAATGACAATGAAGTAACTTTGGAACCAAATTGTTGTGAGAAGAAATCATTAAAATGAGAAGACTGAGAAAAAAATGGACAAACCTGGCCAACTTCCTCCATTATGGTAACTCCACCTTGTGTTCTTGGGGTCACAACCAGTTATGATCCGCCATTCATGATTTTCTAGTGCAGGGTAAGCTATTTTTAGAGGCATTTCTCCAACAAGTTCGTCCCAACGAGCTTCAATGAGATCCATAATGGCCATTGATTGCTCTGGAGTTGCAAGAGAAGATAGAATTGCCACACAGTTACCCAAACAAAACCATCTAAAATCCATCCTTGCTGGACTGACATTTCCAATGAAGTATCCACCATGCATTGGCATAAAATCAAATAACCAGTCAGGGAGAGAATCAGGAATAACATTGAACTTATTTACAGCAGTGTGGGAGTACTCCTCAGTCTTATATCTGTATATGTCATTTAGTTGTTGAAAGTCAAGCCAAAAGTAACTGCGCATGTGATAACTCAAGGCATGTAAACGTTTCACAATTCTCTCAATAAATTCTTTTCCTTCTGCATCATGTTTCAGCATTAACAAGGCACATCGCAATGCCATAAAGAAAAGCGCTTGAATTTCAATAGGATAACCATATATACCCTGAGAAATAAGTTCACATCAGTAAAACATGAAAAGCTAACAAACCTTGAACTCTCCATAATACAAGGACCTCTGAAATAATATATGAGAATATGAGAGAGATGATGAATGTCAATAACCATTCAGTTAGAAATATAAAATAGACAAAGTAAACTGTGAAAAAGTAGCATCAATTGAATTTAGTTTATGGGAGAAAATGGAATTTGGGATCATTAATAAAAAGAATTAAAAGTTGTATTCATATCACCACCCAAATCTCCATGCTTTCCCACCCACTCTTTGATAGGATAACCTTATAAGAAACATGATTGCACATTCATATCTGTAGTTTTTTTGCCCCTCAGTTATCCATTGGCATGAATACAATGTCCATCAATACTCTATTATTGCAATGTGACTTGCACTTGAATCTGGATAACTTCCAATCAGGATTATATTTTCCAAACATAAATATAAAAATTAAAAATGTTAAAAAATGACTACTTGAGTTCTTTATATTTTTTACAAATATTATATAATTAGAACTTGCTTTTACTTCAAGTCTAGTAAAAGAAAATTTTAGCTCTCAAATCTTTTATCTAATAAAACTTCCACCAGTTAAGGGATGGGAGAGGATTGCCTCCCATTGTGCAACCCAAGAACCAAAAGATAAAACTTCCACCAGATAACAGAATCTAAAATCTTCTTTAGTTGATTAAGGCAAATTATGATCTTTGAGACAAACAAGAGTTTATTGGTGCAATTTTTTAGAATATACTACAATACTTGATGATTTCTACTAAATCATATCATCCATTATTTGCTGACAAAATTCAAGATGCTAACTAAAAGAGATTACATTGGCTTAATATAAAAAAATTATCATAAAACCAAATTTATCATTACTAATGTTGATGAGTTTCTATATGCAGTCACAATCAAAACCAATCACAAAAGTTGGCATTATCACGGACATGACATGGATACTCCACTGCACAATGACAAAAGCAACAATATTCTATAAAAGAGAATCATGTGGACCAATAAGATGCATGTGTCATGCAGAGAGAAATACGACGTAAAATCAGATGATGCTCGCTTACCATTCTCCGATCAATCATAGAACATCCATCTGCACAAAGCAAGGTTGGGAACGTATCAAAACCCTCTGACAGACAAAGAGCCAATATAAGCCTCATCCCCTTTTGGCACTCAGGTGTCTCTGCCAGGGTTAAATCCCCAGTAGACTTTGTGTATGCACGAAGAAGAATAATCCACCAGAATCCAGAGTCAACTGGAGCAACTCTTCCAATTGCACTCTCACCAAAATCTGCAACAATTGTATCTGTTTTTCTTACAGGATCATGAAGAACTTTGAAGCTAGCCGGCATTGCACCTTCTCCAAGCATAAACCGATCTATTCTTTTCTCCCACCCTTGAAGCTGTAGCGTCTTCAATAGGAAGTTCTTGACTATCTCAGGCTCACCATTCATCAGGAAAGCCAGAGCACTGGGTACAAAATCTCGCACAAAAACCTGGACAAATTGCCAAACAAGAAATAATAGTCTTAGCAAAACTCAAATTCATAATTACATGTTGTAATGAATTTTATTACTCAAACCATGGAAATCTTAGAACTTAAAAAATTTAAAGAAATTGCCATATTTCAACTTCTTATATCAAAACCATATTCATCTAGTTCATAATTTCAAATTCATCAATTGTTTGAGGCATGCGCTCCATAGCAGATTAAATTCTCATCAAATTTTGTCCAAAGTTACACATGAACAAGCAGCTTCAATAATCTCATGATTCCAGCTACATATGCAATTAGTGTAAACAATCACAATTTAATTTTATGTCCTGATCGTAGCATGTTATGCAAGTAAACCTTCTGGGAGAACTTTACCTGATCATAGTTCAAAACTTCCTCGGAAGCATGGTCACCTGCACCAATGGTACCAACTGGTTGGCCCCTGAAATACACAAGAGATCTGCGGAGAGCATCCCATGCTTCAGCCACCATAGGATGTGGCTCAAATGAGTTTCTCGCTGATGACGCTGGGGTATCAAAACCAGACCTCCCACCAGGTGAGTACATACTCTCATGATTGTCATGGCCACCTCTGGCAAGGCCAATGGAGAGCTCACTAAATGACCTCTCATCAAACGATCTCTGCCTCTCAGTGTTCAGCCTTGGCTTGTCAAGAAGCTTGAAGAGATCCAAGTCATCCATTTCAGAGATTGAGCAATGAGAGCTAACATTTGTAAGCCCCAAACTCCCATCCATTTCCTCTCAATTCTTGAAAGCACAAAAGACTCAAACTTTCACAAACAAAATATCTACACTTCAAATAATAAAAAGGGTTAGTATTTGAGATCACAAACAACAATGTTGAAACATAAACCCATTAATAAAAAAGTGAAACCAAATATGCTTATCATTCCTTCCATTTTGTAATAGTAAAAATGAAAACTTTATCAAACTTTCTGCTCACCAAGTTTTGGACAGAATAGGATTACATTTCCAAGAGGTTAAGGAACAAGAAATCTGAAATACAATTGCATTTCCAAACAAATTTATGCAGATATTAAGACTTTAAAAAATAATAAAATAATATTATCTTAAGGTCGTACAACAATGGAAAGTACCTTTTCACAAAGTTAATTTCTTTTAGAAAAAAATAAAATAAAGAGAATTTTAATATGTATCTTAACGTACACGGTAAATTTTATTTATTATAATATTTATAATTAATTTTTATAAGTTTTTATATAAAATATAATAAAAAAATAAAATAAAATACA